ATTCGATAGGAAATTTTATAAGCTTTTCATTGATATATAATTATTAAGTGAACACGTCTCGGAACTTTTTCAAAAGTAAAAAAAACCACCGCCAGTTTGAAAATACATATTGTTTACTACCGCAAATTTTGACTGGCAATTTCTCTCATACGGGTTACTTGGACACTCGAGTACCCCTTTAGATCTATGTTATTCGATAGGAAATTTTATAAGCTTTTCATTGATATATAATTATTAAGTGAACACGTCTCGGAACTTTTTCAAAAGTAAAAAAAACCACCGCCAGTTTGAAAATACATATTGTTTACTACCGCAAATTTTGACTAGCAATTTCTCTAATACGGTCTACTTGGACACTCGAGTACCCCTTGATATCTATGTTATTCGATAGGAAATTTTATAAGCTTTTCATTGATATATAATTATTAAGTGAACACGTCTCGGAACTTTTTCAAAAGTACAAAAAACCACCGCCAGTTTGAAAATACATATTGCTTACTACCGCAAATTTTGATTAGCAATTTCTCTAATGCGGGTTACTTGGACACTCTAGTACCATTTTTGATTAATGTCTTTGAATAGGAAATTTTATAAGCTTTAATTGGTGTATAATTATTTCCTGGAGTCTTCTAGGAACTTTTTGTTAAAATTAAAAAATATTTTAAAATTCTTTTATCAGTCTGGCGCTCTCTAGCGGTATATATGCTAACTATGGCTGATTAGAAATTGCTAGAAAGGAATTGCTAACTTCACACACATAATATATTGATATAATCTGACTTGACATTTGCTAATCCTCTAGTATTTTATTAATTCAAATATTTCAAATAATTATTGATGATATATGTTGTTAAGTAATTGATAATTAATACAAAGAAAATGTTCTGTTAACTTAGATGTATCGTTAACTTGAAGTTTATTTTACTAGGATAACTACAAAAGTTTTGAATTAATCACCAAACAATTTTTGTATAAATTTTGATTTATTTTTCTAAAAGAACTGTTTAATTTTTAATAAAATGGATCACGTTGTAACTTGTATTGCTCCTGTTAATATAGCTGTCATTAAATATTGTATATAAACTAAGATCGTAAATATTAAGACTCTAATCAATTAAAATTTTTAGGGGGAAAAAAAAATGAAGAATTAGTACTACCACTTAATGACTCTCTCAGTTTAACTTTAGATTGCGAACAAGTAATTAAGTTCGAAAAGAAATTAATAATCATATTAATACAATTAATGTATTTTCAGATGCATGCTAAAACATCAGTTATTGCAGGTCCATTTTTTGAAAATGATATGGTTTGGCTGAATGGAGAGTAAGTATATTTAATAATTTAAAAATTTTTAGCATGTATTTCCACATTTAATATTGCAAAAAAATTCTTAATGTTTTTAAGGGATGATTCTAAAAAGTAATTATCAGCTGATAAATCATAAAATATACCTAATTAAATAAAAGCAAAAATTGTTTTTTCAATATTGTATTTATTTTGAAAATGTATGGCTTATGATAAACTAATCAACCTGTATATATAATTTTTTGCAATAAGTAATGTTTATAACTTTGAAGAAAATAAAATAATTATTGCAATAATAACATGATAATGGAACTCCATAGTTGTATTACTAATAAAGCTTAAAAATTTTGTCTAAATAAACAAAATGTAGTTTAATATCAATTTTATTAAAAATTTTACAGTGTTTAAATGACAACCTTTTTTGTACTTACATTATTATTAAATTTTGTAATATAATGTTAAAATTGTAGGATCATGTCAGTTGATGGAAATACACGTCTTCAAAAATGCTTTCAACTTGGTAAGTCACTGAATTACTATAATCATATTTAATTAAAGTCTTATTATTTTACAGTCAGAGACTTAATTAAAAAAAAAAAAGGAGTTAACTGTGCTGAAGCAAAATGGAAAATAAGAGTTTGTTCTGAGAATAATTTCCCAACTGCAGCAGGGCTTGCGTCATCTGCAGCTGGTTATGCGTGTTTAAGTTTGTCAATTTATAAATATATTTAGAGATGCATATACTTTTATTAATGTATATTTTTTTTTTTCAAGTTTACACTTTAGCGACTGCGTTTCAGTTAACTGATGAAGATCTTCCTTCAATAGCTAGGCAAGGTAGTGGTAGTGCGTGTAGAAGTTTAAATGGGGGTTTTGTTCATTGGAGAGCTGATGTAGATAAATGTGAATCTGATTCAACTGTAGTCCAAATTGCTTCTGACACACATTGGCCAGAAATGATTGTTTTAATACTTGTGGTATATTATGTTTATTAAGTTTATTATTTCTTAGATTAGCTATAAAGGAAACTGTATTATATATAATTATAAGGTTTTTATTCACAGCATCTAATTTAGTGTAAATTTTTAAATCCCTTTTTATATTTTATTTTTATTTATTTTTTAAATAAAAACGGTATATGAAAATTAAACCCATATCACATCCTAACCTGCCGTAAGGAATTTCAATCCAAAAAACTAAAAAAAAATATATTTATTGATCCTTCTGTGAAATTGATAAAATGTCGTTTAAGCCCTTTATCCTTTCTACTATTATAAGTATTCCGTGTTCAATAATTTAAAAAAAAAGTTCTTTTTCCTTAAAATAATATTGATGTTTTTGTAATAGAAACATTTAAATTAAATTAAAAATAAGAAAATTGTTAACTAAAAAAAAACCAATTGTTAACAAAATTTAAACCAGTATTTTAAATAATAGCATTTTTATGTCAGGGTAAGATGAATAGTGTGGTTAGAAATTGGAAGGATAAAAATACTGGTCTAAAAAAAGTTAATTGGTTATTTTCTTAATAAGACCATTTTTTTATTTTTAAGCTGGTAAAACAAGTAACCTTCCATTTAGAAAAATTTATTTTATGATAAGGTGGGACACTAGTCATGACTAATTAATTTTATTTAATTATAAAAAAAAGATGATTATAACTTTTAAAAAAAAATTTATATTGTGTTTATATATTTATAAAAGTTGATTCTTTTAATATCAACAACTCGAATTCTCTTAAAATAATAATTACATTAAGAAAATACTTTTTGTTATTTATTAATTTTATATATTTCTCAATTTATTATTTATTAAGTATTTTTTTAAATTCATCCATTATGTCAACTTCATTTTTTAATTAGTAGCATTTAATTAGCGTATAAAATAAAAGATGATCTAATTCAAAAAATGAATGGTCGATTACAACTAGAAGTGAAGTGTGGGTTATGTTTTTTTTTTCATTACACATTACTCTGCCAGTAACTTTCTCTTAATTATATTTAAAGATGTTAATAAATTCTGCAGTATTTTTTATTTTATAAGCTTGTTAAATATGTTGCTATTTAAATAAATTAAGTTGATACTTTTATGAGGTATAAGGGATGAAATTAAAAAATACCAAAAAAAATTAAATAATATGATAATTATTTTAATAGAAATGAAGTGTCTAATATCTCGTGTCTTGAAATTTATTTTTAATGTATTCACTTTTTTTAATTAAGAATATGAATGAACTATTATATAAGAGTTGAATATACAAAGTAATCCATTTATCATTACTACTTACTCAATTACTCATGTACTTTCATATGAAAACATGTAATTTTCATTATTAAACAAATAATAATTTATTATTTTTAATTTATAGTAAGAGATATTTTTATTTAACTTAATTCATTTATCAGTTTATAAGTTTTGTTTTTTGTAGTTAAAATAGACAAATAATATACAAAGAAAATCAAATACAGGTAGCTAATTGCTTCTTTACAACTTTACTATTCATAGTTTGTAGCAGTTATTGCTAAAAAAACACAATTGAGAGATAATAACAAGGTAATTTTAATTTGACAACAATGTGTTTCACTGAAGGCTAAAAAATAAACATATAATTCATTTGAAAATGTAAAGCATTTTTATTTCCTGACAATAAATACTGTATACTCATAAATAAACCATAAACGAATCCATTAGTTACCAATTAATTTATTCCATTGTAATTATGCATTTATTATAACCCAAAAATTGGAAACTCAATAGTTTCATATCTATAAAATGGATGAAGGATTATTAAAAATTTGAACACTATTTACTATCAATAGTAAACCTTAAACATTTTATTACATTTAAAAGATGTGTTCCCATTTAAAAAAAAAACAATTTTGACACCCTTAGAAGGTATAAAGAATGAACTTAAAAATTATTTCATAGATAATAATTCAAAAACAATATAAACCTAAAAATAATAAAAAAAAAATTTCAAAATAATTTTAAGCATAAACAATTTTTTTTCACTCAAAATGATGTACTTAACCTTTTTATTTTATCTATTTATAACAAAAAAAATATGTATAACATTATATACATACATTTTTTTCTACCATTGTAGTATTTCAACTTATATTTTTGATACCAAAACATTACTTTATTTAAAATAAATTACACATACTACACCAATGGAATTTTACACTCACAATATATAATAAGTTAATATTTTAATATATCTAAAAGTTGACTGTTTCAAAGAATTATATTTTGTATGGTTTTTTTTTAATAAAAAACTCAAATTTTATGATTTGTGCTATTTTTAGTATAATTGATATTTAATTTTTTTTTTTTTTTTTTTTTAGGTGAATGACTCTAAGAAAAAAACTAGTAGTACTATAGGAATGAAGCAGTCTGTGAATACTAGTGAACTACTTAAGTATAGAGTAAATGAGTGTGTTCCCAAACGAACTGCACAAATAATTCAAGTACTTCAATTGTTTTTTTTAATCTTTCATTTAAAATTATTTAAATATCAAATTAGAAACCAGAACTATGTATTTATGATATTTTTTCTGGCCTTAAAACATGTTAAAGTGTAATGTATTTTATTCGTGCTTTATTTACTATAGAAATAAACTATTGTCACTAATATATCACGTAAACAATTTATTAGGCTGCATTTATTCATAAAAAGAATTATTAAAGATATTTATTAAAGTAAATTTTGTTAAGAAATGCAATTGTCAATAATAGGTATATTTGGGATGTATATGGTTATCTCCTCTAGATTGGTGCTATCTAAATTTTATGAAGCATATATTTGTTTTGTGTCTCAAAGAACTTTTTTTTATCATCATTTACTTTTAATGGTTAATATCTCAGCAACAAATCTAATGAGCCCTTTTGGTATATTTTATTTTAAATTCTGTTGTAGAAATATTTGTATAATGTTAATTAATAGCATCAAAATATTTCAAATAGCTAACAACTGTTGATTTTAATTTTACTTGCTTTGGGTGTTTATTAGGGTCACCATTGGTGGTAGACTGAGGTTTTTTCCGTAGTCTTAATTTTTAGTACATATTGGGGCCGCACAGTGTTCTAAAACACAAATTTTAGCAGGATAATATTAAACTTATGTTAAAATTTTTACTTTTAATTAGGATAAAAGGTTGATAAATTCAAATTAAACTTTATTTATTCAATATATTCCCTTTCAGAAGGGCCATAGAGGGTATTTTATTCATTTTAGTCAATTTTTGATATAATATATCAAAATATATGTTATTTATTTTATTATAAAATTTCATCCGTAAATATAAACGTTAAAAAATTATATTTTATTTAATAATGTTTTAAATTTTAAATTTTAAATAATATTTATTTTATCATTTTATTTAATCATTCTAATATTTATTTTTATGTCTATACTATTATTACAGGCTATAAAAGATAAACATTTTTCAAAGTTTGCTGAAATAACAATGCGAGATAGCAATCAGTTTCATGCTATTTGTTTGGATACATATCCTCCATGTATCTATTTGAATCATATTTCCCATGAAATAATTAGCTTTATACATGACTATAATGAGGCAGTTGGACAAATTAAAGTATGTTGTATATGTTGTATAAGTTGTTATGTTATTATTAATAGCTGCATTTTTTGTCTATAAATTTAATTACTTTAAGGTTGCTTATACTTTTGATGCTGGCCCAAATGCTTTTGTATTTCTAGAAAAAGAAAACTTAAGTTCATTTCTATCAGAATTAATTCATGTGTTTCCTCCCAATCATTTTGACACATATTTACGAGGAATATCAAGTATTCAAATTAATTCTGTAATTATTTATTTGATAAAAAATTGATTTAAATTAACTTTCATTGGATGTAATAGTAATTAATCATTATTTTTAGAGAATCATGTTTAATTTTACCCCTAAAGAGAAAGGGCTATTGAAGTATATTATGGTGACAAAATTAGGAAATGGACCAAAATGTATCAATAGTCATCTTTTGAACCAAGATGGTATTCCATATTAAAAAAGTGCTAAAAAATATAAATTTTTTGTCATAAATATTTTTATATTTATAACTTGAGGTAAACTAAATAAAAAATATTTGTCCTTTTTATATGAAATGTGAAACAATTTTTGTACTTAAAATAAAATAACTATTATAAATTATATAATTATTTATAATAATTTTGTAATTGGTTTTTAGTAATTAAACACTTTTTTTAATACATAATTATTTTAATATTAGGTGTAATAAATTATTGAAATTTAATAAACGAGGAGTCAGGGTGTATCCTATATTTTTTAATTTAGAAAATCACCCTACAAATTGTTCATATTCATGTAAAAACAAAACAATATAATATTGGTTTAATTGGCAATTTTAAGATCATTAGATTTAGGGACAGATATTTCACATAAAAATTGTTTATAATTAAATTTTCTAAAAAAAAGTGTTACTAGTAAAAATTATAAGTTATAAGTAAAAAACTTGTAACGTGACAAAATGTGAATGTTATGATATTGATAGATTACTGTTTTGCTTTGCTAATGGGCGCGCGTACGTTATATCCGGCCGTGTAATCAGAAAACTGTACTGTTGCTGTCAAGGTGAACGCTATACACACAATATTCTTTATCAGTTTAACAATCGTTCCCTATATGACACATACACTGGCCACCACTGTCCATACCTGTATAACTCTAATATTGTTCATATTTTTATCTGTTGTATATTTTGTAAATCATTAAGCCGATACCCTCTCCCAAACGGGTTCGTCGTCGTTGTGTCTCGCCCGGTGTGTAGAAATTTTTTCGTAGCTCTCTTCCCTTTGAACCACCGTCGTGGTCTGTTTTGCTGTGTGCGTGCAGCCAATTATAGTTTTTTTTCTCGTGTTCGTTGTATAAACATAATGTACTAATCCAGCAAGGCGTCGGCCATTTCCGGGGCCGAGATCCCCATCTTAGGATGAGTCCCATCCGGGACTGGGTAT